ATGCAACACCTCTTTAGGCCAAATGCAGCAGTTGCATTAAGGCAGGGGGGCAGGCAGCAATGTTTTTTTGGCAGGCATGCCAAATTAAGCCCCATGCCTTCCCTATGGGCCCCACTCTGATCCCCTTTCCCCTGCCTGAACCACCACTCAGCTTTCTGCTCCCTGGTGTGCAGAGCAAAACGTACCCTGCAAGATACACCCAGAAGGCTGCGCTGGCTCAGGGGCCAGGTACTGGACCATCTCCTAGTCACAAGTGGAGACTTCAGGTGAAGGTCAGCAGCGACTTCTAGCATTTGTGAATGCAGCACAGCCCACGTCATGGTGGGGATGTACCGCATTTGAGGAGGTCCCGCTCCCACTGTCAGCTCCTATGCTAAGTTTAAGCGAAATTGAGTGTCCCAAGTCAAATCAATTCCAAATTTCACAGGTCATTCAAGAACCATATATATGTAGCCCTGCTATCAGCAAGCATCCTCCACCCCAGGGCTGGAGATGCTGCCAAATCCTTTGCTGGGCATCCTATGTACAGGCCCAAGCCCAGAGGCTTGAGGTTCAGATGCCCCCCTTAGTTTTGCTTGCACTCAGCCGTATGGTAGGAGCAAGGTAGGGAGGAGTCTCCCATTTCCAAAGAGTCAGTATATAGGCAAGATCTTCCCACTGGAAGTGACAGTGGGAAGATAACCCTGACTGAGATAATGCAGTTACTACCCCTTGCCAAGAAACTTGTCTTCCCCTACACTGGGAAAACCGCCTTGCGGGTCATGGTCATGGTACTTCCCCTGCACTGGACCCGGTAGCATCCAATATACACCAGCCCCAGGACCACGGCCGAGTTTGCTTTGGGTCCCATTACTAAAGAAACCCAAGCGAGTCAGACAGATGCAGTGTCACCAAAGCACCCTGGCAAGCCAAGTCCTTGCATAAACATGGTTTCCACACCTCGCCCTCCGTGAACTCTCCTGGTTTGTGGGGTGGGAACAAACCAAAACAACCCAACTCTGCTAAGGTTCCTGTTTAAGCAGACATTGTTTGTGCAAGAGTCTGGAGGCAGACAAGCTTGACAGAGCATGCATCCTCAGGTTACACAACCCAAGCTCCCAAGTGCACTTTGAACACCAGTCAACCAGAGGCTAAACTGAACACGGACGCTTCTCTGCAAAGCCCTTTTCCGCACAGGGGATGTGTCGACTAGAAAGAGCCTGGCCCCTCTGCTCTCTTCCTTTAATAAAGGAATTTAGACTTCAGCTCTGTAGTTTCTCTTATCCCCCCCCCCAAATCAGCAAGCAAAACCTAGCAGGAAGAGGCTGCCAAAGGTCCCACCTGAAACTTGCCTCCAGGTGGGGACTGAGGCTTGGCAACAGGCAGCCTCCTACAGACCGAGGCTTCAGACTGAAGGTTTGCTTCCTACCGAGTTTGGGTAGCACCAGGCACAAGCTGTACCCAACCTTGGTTTCATGCTCTTGTTGTTGCTGTAGTACGCTCACTGGGGTGGGGAAAAAGTGCCCATTTAAAACATCCCAAGGACTCATCTCATATGAAGGTCGCCGTTTGAGCAGATGTGTGTGTCAAATTCAGACCCACGTCAGCTAGGACGGGTCCAAGTCATAGGAGATCTAACAATCGGAGACGCACGGATATATCAGTTGTGCATCAGATCGGTGCCACTAAAGAGGAAGATTAATGTTACCAGGTTTTTTGGCTGTTGCAGCTGATACCGTTCTCTGATCATCAGTTATGCCGGGGCTCCTAGATGCCTAGGGTCCCCTCTTGCACACAGGGCTGGGACCCCCCCCCCCCCAAAAAACACCTGGGTTCCCGCCCGTGAGCCAGGATGAGCCCAGATGCACCCTCCATCCGCTCACCAGCAGGCCAGGCCGCGCCGGGCTCAGGGTGTCCTGGCACCAGTGCAGCACAGCGCAGGCTGGGGCCAAAGCCGCTGACGTGACTGGGACAGGGAGGGATGGGTAGAGCCAAGCTGCCCAGCCCAGCGCGACTTAACGCATGGTACCTGGGGGTCTGCACCCCAGGCGTAGAGCCTGGCAAGGCCCAGGGCAGCCACTCCCAGAGGAAGTATCAATGGAAGACCTCCCTTGACTGCAAGCTTTGATGCTGAGCCTTGCTGTCCGACTGCAAACGCCCTTTTTGGCTGATGCAGTGGCCTTTGCAGCTCAGAAGGGCTTGATCAAGTGCTACCAGTTTCTGCTTAAGGCTGGAACAGAGGGAGCAAATCGCCTTTTTAAAGCAAATTGCTGAGGTCTCAAGTATGCTGCTAATGAGGCTTAAATTGACTCTGACCCAAGTAGTCTTCACCTCTGCAAGAGCAGGCACAGAGCATGAAGCTGCACCTGGTTCTGCACCCACACAGGGTCCAGGTGGCCCAGGACAAGAAGAGGCTTCTCAAAGGCTTCAAATCCACTTAAGGGCTATAGTTTATTTCAGTTTCTTTTCTGCTTTGCATCCGTTCCTGCATGCAACACCCCAACAACCAGCTGGATGTCATGCTATTGCATAAGAGTAACTAGCCACATTCATCACCATCTCCTCTCCCCCATGCATGGGATTGCCCGAGGTTCACCTTTGCCCATCTGGCCCTGCAACCTTAGAAGCCAGCAGGTCCCAGCCCCAAAAGGTGCCTTAGATGCAGCATTGAAGGTGGCCCATACAGCTTGCATATGCACTTGCATGCTGACCCGAAGCACCGCATGGCTCGAGCAGCAAGCCCCATTATCAGAGCCCTGCTTACACAAGGACGGACTTCGTTCCAACTTGTAACTGCTGCTTTATTTAATGCCGCGCTGCATCTCGAGTTTGATACGGCAACTTCTCACCGTTGGTACCAGTTTAACAAAAGGCTCTCTCAAGTTTTATCATATTTATTCGCTCATAGCAGTAGAGGTAGATGATTCTGCACACGAGCAGGCAAAGTAACACTTCAACAGAGGAGTTTGAGAGGCAAGATGAGAATGGTTTTTCCTGTGGGTGATTTCTCAGGTTCTCTCTCAAACAAAACAGGAAGGGAACCCAATATACAACAGGCTGAAGACACCTACTCAAGCAGCAGCTGGGATTCAAGACAGATAAGGTAAAAATTGCAATAGGATGTCCTCTGCACTGCATAAGGAGCATGCATGCAAACCCCCACCCCAAGGGCAAATGAGTCCTATAACAGGCCTCAGCCATCTTAAAAAAAAAATCATGCCAAGATCATACTTTGCCCATGCAAACAGACTCCAGTCATCTACTTGCTAGCATAAAACAGATGTGGGAACCCACTTAGTTGCCTTAGCATGTGAAAGCAAAAGTGCTAAAGGTTACAAAGTTCCTGTAGACTCAAACAGAGAACGGGCTTTTCCGGTGATAACAGGCTTTGGTACAACTGTGCCTGCCTCTGCAGGACCACAACACCACCACATGTGGGTGCGGAAAAAGGCACAGATGTTCCACACTGATGTGTCACTGGGGAAACCTTGAGGGGCTGGACTGGACACGCCATCCTGAACACAGGCTAGGGCCCAGGGGAGGGAAACAGAGGAACTAACCCTTTTGAGACGCTGCTTTGTTTCTTTTGGTGCCTGGTTACAAGTCAAAATCCAAAACAGCCACAAGTCTCCAAGATGCAGTTTTGCTTCTACGAAGGGGCAGAAAGCACCTACTTGAGCCCAGCCTGAGATGACACCCGCACTTGGCAAAAGGGGTGCCTCTGATCTGGTTCTCCAACAGCTGAATAAGTTACTTCCCCATAACTCTGCCTCCCCCTCCCTAGTGCTTGGGGAGGGTATTTGCATCCTCCCATGCTTTACAGGAGAGGGTGGAGGGCAAAGAAGTGGTAGTTGTGCTGCTTTCAGAGGTATCCGTGCCCATCCTCTTTAACAAAGCGATGGGCAGGACACATCCCAGGTGCAGAGCCACTTGGAGAGCTTCAGGACTGCAGCAACATGGGGCAATAGTGTGAAGACACTGCTGCCCCAATACCAAATGCAGAGGGGATGCTCCCATTCATAAACCAGCATCCAGGAAGCTTTTACTCCTCATGGATTGGGACTGGCTAGAGCAGAAAAGACAATACAGAGCACCTGGGCTCTATTGAGGCCTCCACCACCGACCCTAGGGAAAGTCATGTCAGTGCCTCAGTTTACTTATCTGGAAGTGGGTACAATACTGGTCTACCTCCCCAGAGGCTTAACATCCACAGAATCCTAAGAGCACCCAAGAGAGGCAGAAAATACAAACCATGGGTCTGTCCAGGCTATAAAACACTGCACTTGCTGGGCCTACATCTTGCAACTATCACACCTATTCAGTATAGAAAGATCCTCCCCATCCTTCACAGCAGTGGCTGTCGCTTTGGTTTGTCACCATTGTGCATGCAACACTAAGCTGCAATGAAGCTAATGTGTGCACAAAGCAATTGCACTTTGCTACAAGTCGCAAACTTAGCTTGGTGGCACACACTTGTCGCACAAGTGCCAGGCCCAAAGCTCAGGGTACACAGGACTGCATCATCACCAAAAAGTCAGTTTTCAAGAGCTCTAGGCTTGCAAGACACAGCATCCCTCTCCACACAGTATTAGCACATTGAAAAGAAAGGCTGCTCTAAGGAAGTCAGCTTCATTTTACTCAGGAGGCATCCGGATAAATTAAATTAAGTTCCAGATGCTTGCAGGAGACCTGGATCCCCCCCAGCACAAGCCCCCCCTCTTAAGCTTCCTAATTTAATCAGGAGTCAAAACACCCACGATACAGACTGGGACCATCTCAAGAAGCCCTATGCTGCAGAGTTAAGACACTGGGAGCTAGTTTCCTTCTGCAGCATTTAGACAAGTGTTTAAACACTTCTTGGTCAGAACCAGCTCTAGGGGTCTAGTCGGGGATGCAGAGGGCTGGCAGGTTGGGAAGTTTCCTCCAAAACCCCTCAGTAGTAGCAGGACTGGTCAAAGCTGATGCACGGACCAGGCTCTGGTGGCCTGAGCTGTGCTTCAGAACAAACCCAGTCCCCTCACCCGCTTTTAAGAATGGAGATTTCAGGGGCACCCTTTTAGGGTTAGCAGCCCCAAGCTGGGCAGTGATGCCCTATGCACCATCCTACCATGCCTGAGCATTTGGGATGGCACAAGGCAGAGGAAGCAGCCCAGGATCTCTTCTAGCAGTGGTAAAGTGACTGCAGAGGCACTGCAGATGCCATTTTAATCCCATGTTGCACATCCCACAAATCACAATGTGTGCTTTCCTCTGCAGTGATCTCTGGCACAGGCATTGGTGCTGACCTCGAGAGCAGGCAAGCCATGCAGGGCAGGCACATCTATGCCCGTTCAGGAGCTGCTCCCAGAGGACTCTTCCAGGGACCAGCACCCTGCCCCAAACCCTGGACAGGCCTCGCCCCTCTGTCATCGGGCTCGCACACCCTTCCACACATCTAGCGTCTCCTTCCACCGAGCACCAGGAGCCACCCAGGCAGCCAGGGCAACCTCAGCCTGCGCTGCAAATGGGGAGCAACTCTGCAGGGAGGGAGGGAGGCAGCAGCGAGAGGCAAACATCCACACCCAGGAGTTACGTTTTCCCAGAAATCTTTACAGACCAGTCCCCACATTTCAGATCAATGCAGGGCCAAGACCCAGGGTATAGCCAAACAGCCTCCGCCTCCCAAAGCGCCCCAAGCACCCATGCAACGGCCTCAAGCTGCAGCATACTCCCATCCCATGCAAAGCCCCAGTCACTTGCTCATCCCCCCCGGCGGCCCAGAAGGGAAAGCGCCGACTGCCGCAACCGGGGGGGGGGGAGACGACCCCCAGCAGGGCCTTAAGTAACACCAGCAAAAAACAATGACACGAAGGCAGGGCAGGGCAGCGCCTCGGACGCAGCTCTGGACTTGGCACATCTGCCCAGGGAAGGGACTTTGCACCCTTTGCAAAGCCACCCGGCGCTCTCCAGCCTGGCGCATGAGGTGGCTCATCCCGCCAGGCCCCAGCAACAGGGCAGGCAGGAAGGTCACCTTGCCCGGCACGCCCCAACCTGCGGGTCAGCGCCCGACGCGGGGCAAGAATGCAGCAGAGCATCAAGTTCGAAAAGCGGATCAGACTACAATAAAATCAAAAGTATAATAATCATTTAAGAAAAAAAAAATGCCTTGAAAAAGGAGAGAAGTGGGGGAGGGCTTTTCCCTTGAAGGGCACTCCCCACCCCAGGGCACAAACGGGCCCTGCTCCACAAAAAAGCCCGGGGACGGCTGAGCACCCAAGGCGGCGGCAGCACCAGACCCCCGCCTCCCCGGCACTTACCTGCAGCGGCAGCAGCCCCCACCGCCAGCCGGCGCGGCCCTTATCCCGGCGGAGCCCACGTGCCTCCCCCTCATGTGATCCGCGTCACCCGCCCCCCCGCCGCGTGACCGTGGGCGGGGCCGGGGCCTGGAGCGGCCCTGAGCGAGGAGAGCCTGGCTGTATAGTAACTGCTCCTGAGGGGAGAGGGGCTGAGCGGTAGCTGGAGCGCACCCGTGACAGGGGCGCGCACAGACCGGCCGAGAAGAGCAGCACTAAGACTGCGAAGCCCTCCCGAGTTGGGCCGTGCCAGGCTTGCCCCGGCCTGCGCCTTGTTCGCTGCCCGCCTTCAGCAACCGCCGGGCCCGTCCTGTGCCCTCAATACGGCCACAAAGAGGGGAGTTCTGGCATTTTCTAGCCGTTGAGGGCTGGACTTTGCGAGCTTACTCCTGGTTTCTGAATGCAGGCGCTGGTTGGGGGGCGGTGTAATTTCCATGCCTTTCACAAAATAAAAAATTGAAAAAGGAAGACGTTGTCACGGGGCATGATCACGACGCTCCTTGCAACAGGAGAGTTGCTCCGTTATCTCGCTGTCGTCCGGCACCGAGTGAGAACGGACATTTTCCGAGGAGCGCCGTGAGCGTTTGAGGGGTGCCTCGGATCTATCGAGGGACGCCGTGGGTCTAGAAAGGTTGAGGACCGGCCGGGCAGCCTCAGCCGCTGGAGCCCGTGGAGTCATTGGCAGCAGCAGTGGGTGGTTATCCCCTGTGGGGACCAGCCGAAGAGGGGTGCCAGTGAGAGTCTTAGATATCGGCTGACCGCAAGCGGTGAGGCTCGCCAGTTCTCCCAGTTTTGAAGAGGAGCGTGCCCCAGTGGGCATAAACTCCCCCGCAGCACGATGCCTTCTGCTCCGGTCCCTCCAGCCCGTCATGTCTTCCCCCTGTGACCACCCTGGTAATCCACCTAAGATTCCTTTATGAAAGCCGAAGGCTTAGTCATGACTTCAAGCGAATGCTCTAAAATACTTTTCCAGGAACGGATCAGAGCTAGTCCACCGTTTCCAAATGTTCTCATCACCTTCCTCCAGCGCAAAGCCTCCTGCGCTCTTTCCTTACGCTTAGTCCCTTCTTGATGCAGTATTGCCACCCCCGTCATGTCAAAAATCAGGGGACAAACTCAAAAAATCAAGAGATTTGGAATGTAAATCATGAAATGCTATTTTTGACATATGCATGGGGGGGAGGGTTATTTGTGAAGGTGTGGGGGGCTGTGGGGGTGTGTGTAGGGTTTGGAGCCCTGGCAGGATGCAGGGTACTGTGGGTGAGGGGCAGCAGCAGGGCCAGGGAGGGCTGTGGCTTGGGAGTGAGGGGCAGACACATGCACATGGACAGACAGCCACGGCTCTGTGGCATGACTCGCCCCTGCCCCAGGGTCCCCATTCACCCCAGCTGCTGCCCCACTCCCTCTCCTCGATCTGCCCCTTCCCTCTCCCCCTGCCCTGTCCCTTCCACAGACTTACCAGCTTGGCGCTCTCTACATGCACCAGAAGATCAAAATCCCTAAAATGTGATCTCTCAATCAGAAGATCATGAGTCGGAGTTAATTTGACTTGGAAATCAAGAGTCTCTTGATTTTTTTCATGAGAGTTGGCATTACTGTTGGTGCTAGTGAATGATGTATCCATGATGGTCCAAGGGTTATGCAAGAGGAAAGGGGTTGGGGTGGGGGGCTGATATCTTTTACTGGATCTGAAATAAAGCTATACCTGCTTTTGTGCTCATCAGGTTTGAGCAGAAATGCAACCAACCAGTGAGGCTTGAACTGTGAAGGTGGAGGGGAAGAGGCAAATTCCCAGGGGTAGCAGAGAAACAATTAGCAGAAGAAAGGAAGCTTATTCCTGGCAGATCAAGACCCTCCAAAGAGAAGGAAGGGGGGTCATTAAGGGGGGTGGGAATCATTGCTTCTCTCCTCAGACCTGATGAAGGAAGTCTTGCTTTTCAGAGCTTGTCTGACTTTATTCCAACCAGGTAGGTGGGGTAATAAAAGATAAAATCCCTCCCTTCTTGATGGGCTTTCCTGGACACACTGGAGCCAAGGGGTTGGCACACCTAGCTCCTAGCTATTGTCTACCACCGTTTCCCTTAGCTTATCTATAGCAGCTCCTGTCCTTTGTCTAGGGCTTAGCACCTTAAGGCAGGCCATCCAACATCTTGAGAGATGAAAGAAGAAAAAATGAGTGGGTCAGTGGTGCTTGGCAGTGATGTGGGAGAAGGGCCTGATACCCAAGCTGCAAACCTTCCCGCAATGGCTACAGGTCCACTGGCCAGACAGAGGTTAAAGCACTTTACCACCCTAACAACAGCACTGTAAATGTCTGTCCCTCTTTGTTTTCTCTTTGGATGCTTGGAGGTTTGATCCATGCTTGTATATAGGAATAAGCTTGACCATGGTATCACCTACTGCATATGATATTGCCTTCACATACTAGAAGCTGCTTCAGTGCAGGGTACTGGGCTGGCCAACACGCTGCGAATAGGATTGGGTCTGTTGGCTTGCCTGGGGTTGAGACAGACGGATTCAACTCCCTGCTTTGCCCCCAGCTTCCCTCCTGTGTGATCTCAGACATGTCTGCCTGCTTTCATCAGCTTGGAGAAGAAGTTGCCTGGCGTTCCCAGGGGTGTTTCCGGCTGTGGGGGGCTCCGATGTTAAGCCTACGCTGTATCTGGCAGGCAAGTCAGGATCTAGCAACCCTCTGTCCAACTCTTGCAAAACTCTCTCACGTACAGCTCCCAGCACAGGCCAAACTTGGCCTGCCCTAATTCCACGTGTTTTGCTGACGATAATAACTTAATTGCTGACCCAAATAAATTACTTGCCCAAAGCTACTGGTAAGTAGAGTTTTATAAAGCAGTTAACCTCCCTGCAGATCCGTCCCTAGAAAAACTAGATGCAGTTACATGTTGCATTGAAATCCTCTTCTGATGGTGTCCTGGTTTGGGAAAACAAAACACGACGGGGAGTAATGTTGGACCCTGTGGCTTTAAGAAACTAGATACTGATGTCATATCTTGCCGGAATCACAGCTAAACCCTCAGTATTTAGGTTTGCCCAGTAACAGCCTGTGGCCAACCCTTGATGCCCGGTCAGAAAATCAGCTTGCCTGTACTTATGGAGCAACAGGTCACAACTGGGGTCCCATGAGGCAGCCCTGGGGAGGCTGTGTTGCAACATGGAGCAGGGACACGGGGGTTCAGAGAGGCTTCCTGTAGGAGGGGAGGCGTGGGAAGAAGGTCCTTTGGGATTGCATGGGAAAGCACTGGGCATTTTAGCTCTGCATAACATGTCTCTTCATCCTGCTGTGACCGAGGAGCTTCACTCCCTTAACAAGCAGGAGGCAGAGACATGACTGCAGCTCTTCTTTCCTTCCTGCGGCAAGAGCTGCCTCCCCCACGGCAGTTTCCCGAAGGTGCTGGGTGTGATGCGTGGTGGTTTCCTGCGCAACAGAAAGCCAGGGTGGAGGACCACGCTGTGCCCCGTACAGGGCTGTACTGCAGATCGCCTTACCTCTTGGCCTATCCAGCAGCATGAAGCAGCTGAAGCGTGATCCCTCACCATTTCCCCCATGGGCTGCGGTGGCGAGGGAGCACCCTGTGGCTCCAGGTGTGGCTGCCTTGTGAGCATTGCCCATGCACAGTGTGGATCCTGCCAGCAGGCCAGGACCATGAGAGCAAGATAACCCATGCATCCCTGTTCTGCGATGGGGGCAGGAACAGCAGGGTTAGGACGAGGAATCGGCAATGAGTGGAGACCCATCAGAGACGACTGAACAGAGGGATCCCAGGTGAGGGATGAAGGCAAAGGCATAGGCCCGGGAGGGGTCAAGTTCAGGCGGGTTGGAGAGCCATGCTCCCTCCTTTTCAGGTGCCTGCCAGCCACATGCTGGGTCCCACGCTGGCAGCGCCACAGGCAGAAGCTGTAGCACCAGGCGTGAGACTTCCCCTGATGGCAGGGAGCACCCCAGCCCTGCAGGGACAAAACGTGTGTGTGGTTCAAACTCTGCCACCATGGCCACGGCTCGCTGAGCTGGGTCTTTTGGCTGAGCTCCGGCTGGAGGGAAGGGCCTTGTGCTCCTGTTGCTGCTCTGCGCTGCTGCCAGGGCACTGGCTGCCATCTCAGTGCTGAGCAGAAGTCCACAGGTTGGATGACCTGGGTCAAGGGGCCAAATTCAGGCCTTATATTTGATACCCTTGGCCTAGGCCAGTGGTTAAACCCAAAGCACCCTTAGTTAGATGCAGGGTACCCTTCCACAGTTTTTGTGAATAGAGAGCATCCTATTTCAAAAATGAATTTATTAATTACACGACTTATCTCCTTGCAAAAAGGCTAGGCGGCAAGGCAGGGGAGCAGTCACATAGGGAGAGAGCCCTTATCACACGTCCTATGGCACCCTTCAAAGGATCTCGGCGCACCGTAATTGAGAATCACTGGCCTAGGGAAATGTACCCCTGCGGTGTTTCAGATGTGTCAGTGACGGAGCTGTCACGTTATGGGCTCCTCTCCCACTATGAATGGGGAACTAGATCAGCTGCTTTAGTCCTTCTATGCCCCCTGCAAGCACCTGATTTACTGCTAGCAGGGAGCCAGGGTTGAGACATTCTGCGGTCTCACGGGATGCTGCTGAGCTCATGCATGATTTAGAGAAGTTAGCGACTCCATCCAGAGACAAATAAAGTATCGGTGCCATCAGCAAAAGTCCCTTCCCACAGCCGCTGCCAGTCCAGAGCGATGCAAAGCTGGATGAGCGAGGGCAGAGCTCCATGGGCCAAAACCCCTGTTGGAAGCATGCAAAGATACACAATGTTCCCAGTAGCATCATGAGTTCCCAGGCCATTTCCTTCCCTCTCCATTTATCTTAATGCAGGCCCTCATTACGCAGAAAGCAAGAGAGGGACAACAGGACAAGCACTCAGGGCTTCGATAGCCAGTTCATTTCAGCCACCACTCGACTGGCTGGTCCCCTAGCATCTTTCTTACAGCCGTACCCTGGCTGGACCCTTCTCCTGGAGCCCAGAGGTGCACAGCCTGATCCAGGGGCATT